GTCCTAGGGGTCAGAATCAGATCCTAGTTCCTCATCCTTTGAAAACAGCTGTTTGGGATATATCTTACATTCAGCATCAAATTGGGCTATGCAGTGTTTAGACATATTTTCCTCTCAATAAGTAAATTTACCGCATAATATATCTGATGTTTGATCTTATTCTGACCTCTTCTAATTTTTTTTGTTTTTGTTTTTGTTGTTGTTTCTTATGTTTCCTTTGTTTTCTACCTCTTGTTACATGGAATATCTTGTATATTGTCTGTGTGTGCATGTGTACGTGTGTATTTGTGTGATTTTTTTTTCCTGAGATGTTAGGTTTATAATGTCTTCCATTCTTCCAGTGATATAATGACAACTTTGCATCATCTGTTGATACCTTTCCTTTTTTTAAAGACAATCAGCTTGACTATATTTATTGATTCCCAGCTATGAACCTTGAAAAATGAACATACTCATATTTCCTTCCACCTTGAAAGCAAGTGTAATTTTGCTAGTATTTTTAAGCTTGCTTTTTGCTCATTTTATTAGAATGAAGAAGAACCAAAATTATGTGATCTTTATTTCTCAGAAATCTGCATCATTACGTTGCACATTTACTTTCCTCCATAATTTAAAAGTAAAATATATATTTATATTTATATTCTTTCATCTGTCTATATATCTATAGCTATATATACTTTTTGGTCAGTAGATCATTTCATCAAGGAATTAATTCTTACTTATATTTCAACCCTAAACGATAAAGAGCATTGGTAAACAATTGTCAATGTAGTTAATCCCTAAATATCAGAGTGTATATTACACTAGTAAGATATGTTGCTTTTAATGAATAAGAAAAAAAGATAGATGGACATGTCACAGATAAGATATTTTCAACAAATTCTAATAGGGAAATGTATTGGAGAACGATGGCTGTATAGACTGTAACTGGAGGATATTATTTCCTGCAAACAACTTACTTTGCAATCTAAATTCTTTCAATATATTGAAAATGATTAACACTGGAAGAAGGCAGAAGTAAGAGTGGGTCAGTACATCTATGGCCTTATGTGTGGCTAGAATATTGAGATAATTCTTTTCAGATCAGTACAGATTTGCTGCTCTGACCTCCCAAGTGCCCTGACTCTTCTTAACTGCTCCAGTCCCTCCACAAGGATCCCCAGAGCCTCACCTCAGTTGACCGAGTAAAGAGTTAATGCTGTCAGGTCAGGGAATCTTAGGGACCCTGGTCTATTGCTATAGCTTCTCATTCTTTTTGGTGGTGCCTGTGATAATTATAAGATTAAAATTATCCCTGGAAGTTGGCCATTGGTATGGCTCAGAATCCTCTTCCTATTAGACAATGACTGGATAGATGATTGATAATAGATAGATGATAGATAGACAGACAGATATTCCTGGAGTGGACATGCTTCAGATCTATTTCCCACTAGACAAAGAATACACACACACACACACACACACACACACACAGAGTACTGAAGTATAAAGAAATCTTTTACAAGGCAAATTATTTTCTATACCATTTAGCATAAGCATACAGCCAAATATTTGATTTCTTTCTTGGAAAAAAAAGTAACCTCAAAGAGTGAGTCTGTAAAGTCTCCAGACACAGACACATCATCCTTAGATCTATCATTGCGTTATATCAGGCATTAAAATTTATCCAAATGTACAGATGATTCAGAACATGCATGTGACAAGAAACTCATAGGACAAGCCAGTACAGACAACTCATAAAACTATATCAAGGATATTAATATCATATCATCAGCGAAAAGAAAGAAAAAGAGGAGTAATCACAGGGGAAATTTCCCAGTGCTTCCACTATGTGTTTTTTGTTTGTTTAGTTTTTTTGTTTTTTAAGGAACAAAAGTTCTCAAGACACTGACAACAGATTAAGAGCTTGGGTTCTGGAATTACTTAGGAAAGCTGATGATGTCCAAAGCCCTAGTACGAGATAAGCATTGAACATAAGCACTTGGGGGAAAAAAAGTATGTTTTAATATGCATGACGTTCATGTAAATACTAGAAAGCAAATAAATCATTACTTTGCTTATCCTGACAACAATTCAAGAAATCACCAGTGTGATTGATCCTTTCTTCGATTTTCCTTTTACATTTTCTTATACCTTATATGAAAAACAACATATATCCTATCTTACCTTTTAGTACAAGTTTTGGAAGATGGCTATTTGGAATTTTTAGATTCGTAAACAATAAATTTTTAATCGTTTAGCAATTTCACTTTATTAAAGATAATTTATTACTAATATAAATAGAAATATCCTGTGACTTGTTTATTCTGATGAGTTTTAGACCTCTTAATATCTTTTATTCTTTAATATTCCCCACTATATCTTGCAGTAGACACCTTTCAAGTTATATGAAGCATTATAAATATTTTTCCACCATCAATGATGGGAAAAAAACAAGTCATTCCAAACTTAAAAATAGATAGGCAAAAGTAAGTACTAGCTCCATTCCTAAATAGAAAGAAAAAACAACCTGGTACTACTTAATGTTAAAAATTAGAATCATTTTAAAAAGGTGGAAAAATATGTTTCAGATGCTAAAAATGTCATGGAAATTTAACATCATTTGAGGTATTTATTCAGGTACTTGACAGGAATTAATCGTCAGCTCTGTTTAATCCTAAACTTTTAGACCAAAAAATGACAAACAAATGAACTTCTGTAAATAAAAAGTCAAGCCAAATTTTAGTAAACTTTATTGCTCTAAGGGCAGGGTTTGAGATAGAAAAGGTCTGCAATAGTGTACATACAAAATTAAGGTGAAAAGTGGGTAATATATATAGCAGAAAAATAAGATAATTATGACTTTTTGCATAGAACATGCCTTTTGCATTATTTAGATATTGCAGTATCCCATTGATGGGAATGTGGAGCTGTGAAGCAGCAAGGAAGCAGATGAAAAATTTCAGAGAAAATGTTACCCATTGGATGTAAATAAATCAATTGGCCTCCACTGAATAAACGTAACTCAAGTTTTCTTAGATTACTCTTTTCCTGGCTGTCTACAATAGTTGCAACACCTTTATATTTTAAGATTAAGTTGTCAGTTCTTATGAAAGATTTCCCTACTCTTAAATTTCTAGGAAAGGACAGAATGTAGGACAACACTAATTTCTCTACCACAGGGCTCTGCTCTCTGATTAATTCAGACTTTCACTGTCCAGGGGAAAAAGTGGATACCTAGCCTGAGTGTATGGAATCCTGACCCAGCTTTCAATTGTTAGAAACCATAAATCATCACGCTTGATGCACATGATTCAAAAATCTAGTGTTGTTTAAGGTAAGGCAATTAAGAAGATAGTTAAGTGATGTTAGTCTTAGATAAAATTTCTAAGATCCTATAAAAGAACTTAGTCTGATAGTTGCCAAAGTATAAATGAGGCCATAGCAACTATAGAAAAAGTAAATGCCATATGAAGAGGTTATTTTTTAAATTGAGTCATCTGTAAATTTACTATAAGAGACATATGGTAAAATTGAAACTAAAGGTCACAGGCTGCTTCAGATGCATGGACTTAATTTAGAGAAAGTCGTCAACAACTTAGTTTGTATTCATTATAATCATTTCATTTAGGAAATCTCTAAAAGGCAAATGGAACTTTTGAGCCCATGAAAGATTAATTTTTGTCACTTTAGTCCCAGAGTGGCTCAAGGTCAGAGAAATAAAGTGATCATGTGTTAATAATAGTTTCTCAATGCCTATCCTTGAGGAACATGGCAATAATTGCCTAGAATTTTGTTTTACTACATCGTATTCCAGGGTGTGTATATGTGACCGTGTGCTTGTTTGCCCTTGAAAACTGCTATGTCACTTCCCTAAAATAAACTCCCTAAGGTCAGGAATTCCTTGTTCATCTTCGATGTAGGTGCAGAGCAATGTTTGTTAAACAATAGATTTCTTATGCTTTTCATATTCCTCCTGATTCCCCCTGAAACAATAATCCTTCTAGCATTTACCTTGACTAACTACTTCTCCTGCATCCTTGATATTTAATCTCTCCAAGCCTCAGTTTTTAAATCTGTAAACTGGAGATGATATAACTTTATTTATATGTTAAAATCAAAAGAGATAAGCACATAAAAATGCACATTTTAAAATAAAGTACCAGACACATATGCCACTTTAAAAATGACAACATAATGTATAAAAGCAAAAAAAAAATGAGGGAAATGTAATGAGAGTATAATGAGGAACTGAAAATCTGATTTTCTCAATTTTTATTGTATATTTCCTGGTATTTAATGTGTAAGGTTTTGGGGTTTGTTTTTTTTTTAAGATTTTATTTACTTATTTATTTTAGAGGGAGGGTAGGAGAGAACATCAATGCGTAGTTGCCTCTCAGGCACCCCCCCCACTGGAGACCTGGCCTGCAACCTCGGCATGTTCCCTGACAGGGAATCGAACCAGCGATCCTTTGGTTCGGAGGCAAGCACTCAATCCACTGAGCCACACCAGTCAAGGCTAGTGTGTAAGTTTTAAAATCTTGATTTCATCCAGCAAATTTGAATTTAAAAAAAACAGATTATCATTTGAGAATACATGAGACACCTAAGTGAAATATAATGCTATGTTCAAGAAACTGCAGAAAAATAAAGGTAAATTTCAAAGTAAATGTCTTCTAGAGTTTCACAGATTCTCCAACCAAAACTAGTTTCCAGATCTCACCTTCATTATTTTTCTCATTTCCTTTTGGTCTAATTAATCAAAATCCTTCTTAGAATGTTCATTTCTGGCCAGTATGTCTTCCTGAATATGAATAAGAAATAAAATACCATTTGATGTTTGAAATTATGGGGGTAATTTCAATGACGGAAATAGATGACTGCTAAAAGGGAAGGAAATATCTGATTAAATATATTCATAAAGGTGTCAAAGGCTTATAAAGCCAATATCTGGGGAAGAGAAAGCTGTAGGACTACCAGATCTCCTCTGGTGAAGGGTGTTTCCCGAAATTCTCACCACCATGGACAACAAAGCATTGTCACCAAAAGGTATGTGCAACAACTCACTGAGTCGTTGGCTTTATCAACCCTCCTTTGAGGGTACTAACTGGAAATTTTAGCTAATATTCTCTTAGAAAGAGATTTCAGGTTTACAGAGTTTAGAAAAGCTATCTAATTGTTGCTTTAAAAAGCAATTGTACAAGGGCCCAAGAGAATAGAACAGTGGTTTCTCAAATGAAGGAATCCTTCTTCCAGAGACATGTCATTAACATCTAGAGATATTTTGGGTTGTCTTAACTGGGATATAAAGTGTTACTGGTACCTAGTGAGCAGAGGTTAGAGATGCTGTTAAACATAATACAATGCACAGGAGAGTCCCTAGAACAAGAAACTATCCACATCAAAATGCCAATAATGCCAAGGTTGAGAAACCCTGGACTGGAATAAGACCAAAAGTGTCTTTAGGTCCAATTTATCACAACTCCAGAAGGCAGAAACTAACATTTTCTGGTTCCCAGGCCTCTTGCGTCGTTTGGTAATAAGTCAACCTGCTAAAACTTTCAATGCTGAAGCCATTGTGTAGACAATGATGTAGCAGAGTTGTCTCATATAATACTGTGTTGATTGGGTTTAAGCCAAATGACATTTCAAAAGGAAAAACAGGCTAGTAACAAATAATCACCTTTACTTTCTCAGTTGACATTTGCAAAAACAAAAAACAAAAAAGAAAAAGAAATGAGTACAACCATAAAATTTATTTTATGAAATGAAGATCAAAAACATTTATCAATTTTATCTTATCTTAGACTGTGAAGATCCTTCAGATGATAAATGTACAGATAAATGTAGTCAAAGAGTATCTATCCAGTTATGAATTTCCTAGAACTAATATTCTAATTTCTCTATCTGCTAAGCTCTTTTTATTTATACCTGTAGGTAAATATCCATCCAGCTACATTTCATGACTATAATGCACAGAAAATAAACTTTTTGGAAACAGTATGTTTTTAAAAAATTAGAAGTCTATATATGAATCATCTCATAATATTAATATTTTTTTAGTTTGCAGTAGTAGTTGTTTAGTGGACATTCTATACTAAATATTTGTTTAGATATTTTTAGGTATTTAGGTTTAGGTATTTCTTTACACAGAAAAACTTTAGAACTTGCATAGTTTTATCCTGGACATATCCAATTACATTTATTAAAGATTCCTTAAAATTTTGTTCTTCTGATCAACACATTTTAATAGCAGATATTCTTTTGGAGTCATTCAATGGTAAAAATAATTTTAATATATTGTTTTTTCCTTTTAAAAGTGTAAATTATTGATATGTTAAAGGTCCACATCTGTCCATCTGCTGAAATAACAAATTGACGATTAAATCGTCTCTGATAATTGTCAAGGATTTTTGAAGTTGGTGTTTTGAGATAGAGCAGGAAAAAGTGGATAAATAAACTTCCTAAGACCACTGTTATCATGTATCAAAGACTGTTTTTTGTAACTAATGATAATGGTCTCTGGAAACATTGAGTCATCATCACTACTGACAGTGGTGCCCATCACATATATATAGACTGAGAGCACACAGGTGTGTGTAACAGGTGGGGCATGAGGAAGTGAATAGATGGCCGTATTAGCATCCAGCCTCCTCCACCTGCTAATAATAGGACTTGGGGAGAATCACTTGACTTTAAGCCTTCTGGTTCATCAGTATAGTTTGATGATAATAATGGACTGGGCTATTGTGAAACTAAATTTTTTTTTCAAGTGTTAAAATTTTTGACAAAGTGTGAAGCAGATGCATGGGGTTATTAAGGTGAGTTAGCACATCTAGGCTACAGCATCATTTTTTTAATGTTAGTCTTCTCTTCATATTCAATATTTTCAATCAGTCAGACATGTGCTTATTCTTAGGTCATGAAAGTGAAACAATCAACTGTGTTGTCCTTGCCATTTCAGTGTCTAAAATGCAACTGTTAGGCAATAGAGTGTTAAAAAAATTATAAACTTCAAGAAAGGCTGGCTGATGAAAATCTGCAGAAACCCCAAGACACTAAACTATCTTACAAGAATGACCTAAACACTCTCGCTCAAAATTAATTTTAGCTCCAAATGTTTACAAGGTATAGAAGCACTTCTGGGAGAATTATAAGAATACAGGGAGCAACCTACTTCTCCAACTATATATCTGTGCAAATATAATTACATATCTAAATTTACACAGTGGAAAGAGTTGATTCTTCCCCTCCCCAGCTATTACAGTACTGAATTGTGTTGAGGGCAATGTGGAGAGATAAGGCTGTCCTCCACAGGGTGACTTTTGATAACCTCAACTGAACAGATCATCTGAGAATGGCTCCTGGTTTTGTTTAAGCAGGGTCACTCCTGCTCCTGCTGCTGCTGTTGTCCAACCTGCTCCTGTGCAGGAGAGTGACCTCCATGCCCATCTGTCCCAGTGGGGCTGTCACCTGCGATGTGTCTCTCCGAGACCTGTTTGAGCGTGCAGTCATCCTGTCTCACTACATCCATAATCTCTCCTCGGAAATGTTCAGCGAATTTGTAAGTACCATACTTTTTGCTTCTTCCCAGGAGGAACCTTCATGTGAATGACGGAGCTATACACACTTTAAACAAGAAAGCCACATGAGCCAAATTTCAAATAATGCACCTTGTAGGTCAAAGAAGGCATCAGTAAATGAAGTGTGAAACAAGAAGAAAGGGAGAGTTTCATGAAATGCCAAAGATTTTTAAAGAGTGTAATCATTTTTAAAAAATTTCTTTTAATTGATTTTGTTTTTTTTAACTTCCAAAAATAATTTAGGCATATACATTAGTTGGTTTGGGCTGCCATACACAATATCATAGATTGTATAGCTTAAACAACAGACATTTATTTTCTCACAGCTGTGAGGGCTATGAGATCAAAGTGCAAGGATGATCAGGTTCTAGTAAGAGCTCTCTTCTTCCCAGCTTGCATTCTCCCTCTCTCCTTACAGGGGAAGAGCGGGGGATAAAGGGAGGGACAGAGAGAGCAAGAGGAGAATGAGCAGGAACCAGAGGACTCCTTTTTGTCTCTTCTTATAAGGACAATAATCCTACTGGATAAGGACTCCACTCTTATTTCCTCATTAGACTTAATTACCTCCATAAAGACCCTACTTCCAAATACAGTACATGAAAGGTTAAGATCTTCAAAATATGAATTTGGGGAAGGAATACACAGACACCTGACATGAAACACTTTCAGGTAGGGCTTAAGAAGAAGAGTGTTGATTTCTTGTCCTTGTACATAGGGTATATGTCTGCCAAAACATTCTTCACCTAACGCACTGCAGATATCTAATGAATGAGAATTGTACTACAATAAGCTGGGTGGTTTGGACAAAATTAAATTAAGTTGAATGCATGTTGAGAAAATAAGCAGGTAATAATAGCTAGCTTTTCTGAAACTCAACAATGCTGTGAATTATTGTTCTAAGATTTCCAGTGTAGGGTTTAGAACTATAATAGGAAGATTAGTTTAGAACTGAAAGCAATTACTGTTTTTCTGATTAAGGTATTTTGAAAGTTGTATGTTAACTCTTTTAAGTCAATCAGAGATTGGACAATGGATTAGAACTTCAATAAATCAAAGAGTCTTAATAAAGAATGCAGCTCAATGATTGTAATAAATATGTATTTATGTAGTTCTTTTTACACACTAATTTTTCTTTCATAATAAATGTTTGATTAGCCATCTTTTGTCTTTCAAATCTTCCTATTAATCTCTTTAAGTTTCCACAATGTTTGCTAATGAGAAGTTTTTTCTGTTAATGTATTAGCTATAGTTTTTTCTGTTCTTATTCTCAGTTCATTGCTTAGTATTTCCTGTTTTTCTGACTTATTATTTCATCATAATTAACAAATAGTATTCTGCATCTATGATAAAGATGGTATAGTTGTATGGATTTAGAGATTAGTCAAACAAAAGTTATAATTTTATAATGCCAATTAAAAGAGTATATCTGTTCAGACCCACATAAACAAGAGATCAAATGACTAAATATGGGTACATATGCATATTACATTTGGTTCAAGTACTAAAGAAAGATGGCACTTAATAAACACTTAATATTTAATACTTTAAAAATATTTTTAGTGTTTATTTTCTGAATAGTACCATATGGGAAAGATGAAATTAAGGAAATAGCAAATAAGGAAAGAGTTTGGAATTTAGGAAAGTTAGTTGGAAAAAAATATGTTTATAGAGAAAATAGAAAGAAAGGTAGGGGAAAGGGCAACTTTTTTAATTCTTGACTTTTAATTTTTATGTGGCCCTCGTTTAAAAAAAATATACATCTATCGAATGTGTTAATATTTTGGTAATGGATTAATTGATTCAATGTCCAAACAACTCTAATTCAGTTTGCTCTATAACTTTCAGGAAAAACGGTATGCCCAGGGCAGGGGGTTCATTACCAAGGCCATCAATAGCTGCCACACTTCTTCCCTCTCTACCCCTGAAGACAAGGAGCAAGCCCAGAAGACCCATGTGAGTTCTTTACACAGGTTTCTCACAAAAACAACTAAGGCAGTAGATTATTAGATGCACTATAATAGGTAATGGTAAATGCACATGCAGAGCAAAGAGGAGGAAGAATAGCAAGCAAAGAAAAATTACATTATGTAGTTGGTAAACTATCAGTAAAATCAAATGCAGGCTAAATATTGTAGCAGCAAAATAAATAACAAATCTATAAATTGGCCATGTGGACATGATTTTAATCAATGCTTTAGAACCAGGACTGCATATATTATACTGCATGAAAGCATTAACTGAATTGGACTTGCATGTGTGAAATATAAGACTTGAAAAATTCATGGATATGTAAGAAATATAAATGTCATTTTGTTTATGACAGGGGCTCCTGCAAGGACAGCATTTCACATTGCTGACCACCGCACCATCTGAGCAATCACACCTGGATTTTTGAGGCTCTCCCTCTGATTGGCCTACTTCTCTGACACCACTTCTTTCTTCCTTTCTTCATTCTTCACTCACTCCTCTGCTACCTCCTACTTCCTAAAAATAAGTCTGAACCCAAAACAGGGTCTGTAAATTATTGTTTTGCTTTTCATGACTATCGCCTCTGTTCCAATAACAACAAAGTCTGCATATCAAGCTCCAATCATTTATCCTACCTCCAGTTTATTTTTATTATAATTTCCCTTCTGATTTCCTACCATAACCATAGTTAACATGATTTAAAAGAAATATTTTCACATATACAGTTCCCATAAATACAATGTGTTCTCTCCTTACAACTTTGTTAACAGTACCAGCATTCTTTCTGTCTGCTAGGCTCATTAATAATAATTATAATGATAATAATAAAGTAAAGAAAGGTAAAAAAAGAGAGGAGGAGGAGGAAGAGGAATTAAAATTTGTTGATAGTTACTACATTGCCAGGGACCTTACAAAGCATTTTATGTGCATTACTCTATTTAATTTTCATATAAAATCCTATAACACAAAGTACTGTTATTACACCTACTTACATGAGGCAACCATGGCTTGGAGAGCTGATAGAATTTATTCCATTCACAAAGGTAGTAAACAGTGAGTCTGGGCTTCATCCATTCAAAACCCTCACTCTTTATTGTTATGCCACAATGCCCCCAGCAAAACTATCCTGCCATCCACTACATAGACAGTTCCTCTTTACCCTTCCTTTCCTTCCTATCCCAGTACATGTTTCCATTGCAATGCCTATTTGATTCTTCTCTACTCTTCATTTCCCTTACCACTCAACATCAAGATAGCAAACATTGTAAATCAGAGGTGATCAGCTCTTTGGAGTTTCGTGCACGATCCTTGTAATAGTAAACTAGTGGGCAAAACATTCATTGTGAATTCCCTTAATGCTGTTATTAAATATAGATAGCATTGTGCCATTTTATTCGGTTGAATGTGGCAGCAAATGCAGTGGTCAGAGACCAACGTAGAGACAAGATTAGTATAGATCGAGGAGAGCATGTTTCTGGATACCATATCTTTTTTTCATTGTCTCTTTGTTCTAATTTTATATTAAAATAAAATTAGAAATCACAAATCAATATATTAATGAATAATTTGTTTCATTAATATGAATTAATCTTTAATGAAATGGTTTAGGCTCGTTGTCATCGACACTGGTGAAATCTAAATTTCCTGAGTCAAGAGAGGCACAATGAAGTGCCAAAGAAACTCTGGTTTCTACCATGGACAGGCAAAGCAGTCAAATATAAAACAATTATCTGTGTGGGAAAATGGTAGAATTTCAAAAGGAAAACAAAATTTTTCATTCTGTAAGTTAGAACTCTCATTAAAAGACGTAGTTATTTAAATAAGCAAGGTTTTTTTTAATTTTAGCAAAGTTTAAGTCAATAGCTTAAATTTTCAATTTTTTCTATTTGTATCACCTATAAACAACTTTACATACACATAGTAATAACAAAGAAATATTTAGGTCAGCCTCTCTGAGAAAAAAGTCACATATAATCCAAATTGTACTATGTGTGTTTTAATGCAATTATTTGAATGGTTGCTTAGCACGAAGACCTTCTGAGCCTAGTCCTTGGAGTGCTGCGTTCCTGGAATGACCCTCTGTATCATCTAGTCACAGAAGTGCGTGGTATGCAAGAAGCCCCAGGTGACATCCTATCAAAAGCCATAGAGATTGAGGAACGTAACAAACAACTTCTAGAGGGTATGGAGAAGATAGTTGGCCAGGTGAGTAGCCTAGTGACACTTCTTTGTTTTTTGGCTTTTTTTTTCATTAATAAAAGACAGGAGCTTTGTGAAGAGGATTAAGTTCCAAAATATCTCATTCTGTAAGAACAAAATTTAGGTATTTTATATTGTACACTTCTATTAAAATAAAGCAAGAGGTGAGTAATTCATAGTGATAGATTCTACTGTAAGTGAATCCAAGAATTCCACTGTCACATTTGACAGGTGCAGACTCCCCTATTCTACGTACAAATCCATCCAAGCCTTGGTCTTTTTTGGGGATGGGAATTTAAAATAATTTTAAGGGAAAGAAGCTAGAGAATAGAATCTGCAAGAAAGGTATTTTCCTCAGTGTATTCTAGGACAGCTGTTAGTGAAATTCTGCTCATATACTTTCTCTTTTCTCCCTACACCAAGGTGTGAGAGGGAACAGAGAAAAGGGCAAGTCAAAATCAGATTGGATGGTGCTGACCCCACTCTCCCAGCCCCTCTGCTAGACATATCTGTTAGGGAAGGAAAGAGATTGGAAAGACAAGGCTGTGACATCAATGCTGCCTCAACAACCACTAGGTTTCAGTGGGTTACAAAGGAAAGGGGGTATATGTTCTGAAATGTTCTATATTTTGTGATATATAGAGTTGTGTTATCCTAAATCTTGTTTTGGGGGGCTTCAAAAATGAAACTCATATGTTGCAAGTAATCTCCCCAAATAATTTGTCATATTTATATTGAGGTAGTATTTGCAATGTATATCTCCATTTAGATGGGATCATTTCAACATGAGTGAGAGGACATCTAAACAGCTTTCTGAAATTCTCAGAAATAATGTACCATGTAAAGAAAAATATATGATTATAAAAATAATAACAGGAGCAAATTTTTCTTATTGTATGCAAAGTACATGTTATCATGTGTCATTTGGTCATTTTCATAGGAGAAGAATATATCCAACACTGATATAAAGCACATTTTAACCTTAGGACACATGAAATAAATACCTAGATTTTCAAGTGATTTTCTTCATTTTTGTGGGCCTACTTTCTGAGGTCGCTAATTTGTTCTATTCTTCATTTGTTTTGTTCTTTCTTTTAAAACCATGTATTCATTTATTCTTGTTCATATCATTATCCCTGGCACAGTAAATTTTGTCATAACAGTCAAGCACCAAAAATAAAACAAAACTTTTAAAAAGCAAGCCAACATACACACATACACACACACACACACACACACACACACACACACACACACACTTTAAATTCCAATAGGAATCCCTAGTTTAAAAAATATTCTTAACATTCAGGAGAAAGTTAGTTTAGCAATCAGACTGCACAGTCACCCCACATTTGCACCTCCTAGCTCTCCAAACTAGCTGACAGCCCTGGTTGCCAAGCTGTTACTAGGTCTCTCAGGTCTCCGGGGACTCCCAACATGCAGAAGCTGACAGGGAGCACTGAGTGGCATGTGCTTCTCCTCCATGTCACTCAGTTGCCTTTTGTTATCACAGTTGTGCGCCCACCCATCACCCACTCTCACTACTGGTGGGTTGATGTCAATACCCCCTTTCTCACCGGCACTTTTCTCAGAAACTCCCACCTCATAGACCTCAAAAGAAAGCAGCTACTCCTCATAAAAATTTGGGGGTTATCTGCTCTGGCTGGATTGTAAAAATCTCCTGACTACTTCGGCAGATCATCTTAGTCTTAGTCACTAGATTATCTGGACCTTTAAGCATCAAGTGCAATCTTCATTTCTAATGTTTCTGCTGAGTATACTATATGGAGAAGAGAATCTGTTCAAAGCGGGGAAAAGATCAGTGTAATTACTGTGACCTGTCAGAAGAAATAAACTACAAAGAGCACATCAGAAACTAGAAACAGAAATGAAGTATTCCCTCTAGTGAGAGAATGGAGGCTCGCTCCTCCATTGCCTCTTTGTCATATTCGTGTCTACATTCAAAGAGCAACTTTCTGGTTCTCCATCTAGCTCGTGCTCGACAGACATACTTCATCTGTGATAACACACATGGGAGAAAATTTACTTGAGTTCTGCTTCTAGTTTTTAAATTATAAATATTGACAAATTTCTGATACGCTGGCTCAATAATCAGTGCCTCCATCTGGGGCATTTTATATTCGTGTCTCTTCCACAAATCTTACTTCAACAATTAGAAAGAACAAAGATAAGCAAATACTAATAATACTAATAATAAGTCACTATCTTTTGGGTCCTTAGGTTTATCCTGGAGTCAAAGAAAATGAGGTCTACTCTGTCTGGCCAGGACTTCCATCTCTGCAGGTGGCCGATGAAGACAGTCGCCTTTTTGGTTTTTATAACCTGCTTCACTGCCTGCGCCGGGATTCACATAAGATTGACAACTATCTCAAGCTCCTGAAGTGCCGAATCGTCTATGAGAGCAACTGCTAAGTTCACATTCATTCCCTCTTTTTCTGAGATGGTTCTTAATGATCCATCCCATAGCAAGCTTCTATTAGTTTTATAGCTTTGTAATGCATGCTTGGTATAATGGGTCTTCTCTTAAAAAATAAAAACTGACTTCTTAGAGATGTCAAAATCTAAAAAGGCAATTTGTCAAAGTTTCTTATCTTTATTTATTAGAAAATCAAAAGAAAGTTCATCACTCCCATTGAGAATTTCCTATTAAAATTTGTCACAAAGAGCAGAAGCTAGCATTACAAATAAGATAATTAACAGCTTATTTTAGAATCATAGTAAATCGTTTTGGGTCAAGTTCTTAGAATCAAAGATTTTGATAATTATTAATCATGCTGGTCATGCCAACAAGAAGACTGAATTCTCAGGATTCTTTATAAAAGTCAGCCATATCTTATCAGCTAACTTTCACAGTATTATGACAGACAATTTAAGTACTATGAAATTGTAATACACTCAAGTAACATGAGGTTCACTAAACAGTGTAAATTTATTAGGATACTGTCTTAGAATGTTTGGGCTAATACCACAGGCTAGGGTGGCCTATAAACAACAGAAATTTAGTTCTCACAGTTCTGGAGGTTGGAGTACAAGGTCAGGGTGTCAGCACGGTCAGGTGAGAGCCCTCTTCTGGATCACAGACTCTTCATTGTATCCTCACATGGCAGAAGGGGCTAAAGAGCTTTGTGAACCTCTTTTACAAAAGCATTAATCCCATTTATGAGAGCCAAACCCATAACTTAATCACCCCTCAAAGGCCCCACCCACCAGTACTATCACCTTTGGGGATTAATTCTGGGATAACACCAACATTCAGACCAGGGAAGATACAAGCATGAGGAGACCTTATCCTTCTTCAGTGGCTGCCTGCAACCCTGCCATACTGAACTCCCATCTCTTAGTACCATCTTGGACACATTCCATATGTTTTAATCACTCTGGGTTTAACGAGTCTAGTCCAGACAGGTTTCGACTCCATCCCATATTCAACCTCTTCAATGTTTTTCTCTCCTCTATTATGGGTCACGAACTTCATGGGGAAAGTAGATGCCATCTATTTCTGCATGCTTCTTCTCCCTCATTCTCCTGGCTCTCCATTCCCCTGGTGTGCTGGATGGGATAGAGGATGAGGAGAAATGAAAAAAGTCTGATGTCAGTGACTTCTGTGAAGGCTCTTGTAGCTTTCTCATTGCTGACAGGGACTAAACTTGAATTCCTTGGGAGTGGCAAATGTCTCTCCTGTGGGGACACCCTATTCTACAGTTTCTTTATCAGGGGGAAATGCTCTGGCTCGATCCTTCTCTCCACCCCACAGCCGTGGCATGTGCAGTATTCCCCACAGCCCCTTCTGCTATTCCCCTCTCCCGCAAGCACCTTACTGAATAAAATTGGCTCAATGTCAACTATCTACTGACTGACACACAGGAAACTCAGGCCTTGTAACCACTCTAAACAACTGAATGCCAATAATATTGGGCCACTTTGGACCTCTTCCTCGGGTCCCTTAAAAACTCTTTTCTTCCCTTTCTCACATAGACAAAAAAATGGGTCAGAAAACTGGATTCATAAGCAGACATTAACCTAAGGAATGACATGCCATTCTCTTCTTCCTTTAATCACAAGACCAATTATCTCAATTAGTAATTGCCTTAGAGAGTTGGCCTTAAAAACAATCCCTACTTAGCCACTGAATTACAATATGGTCCTTGGACACCTCATCTTTTGTTGATTGAGACTGGAGAGAGGTGACTGGATTGGGGCAGCTCAGCTTGTTTGACTGCCTGTAGACACCCTGGGATAAGGGCCGGTCTCTTGCTGCTTTCCTTACAAAGCAATGGCATTGCCAGGCTGTTGTGCAGCAGCTTTAGGGCTTTAGCAGGATATCCTAGACAACAGACAATATGAAATATTCCATCCAACATCCCAATAGAGATGAAATAAAAGAGTAAATAAAAAGAGGAAGCAAGGAAGAGGAACATGGAGGAAAGGGAAAATATGAAGAGGAAAAGTGAGTGGAAGACATGGTTTGTGAATGATAAGCTGCTATTAGAATACTCTATTTGGTGAAAACCTAAATTTTTATACCCTTACAGCAAATACCTCATATCTTTCTTTTGTCTCCTTTTCCTCTTCTCTCTTCCTATTCCCAAATGTCCCTTTGTATTAATATTCTTTGCCCTTAGTAATTGAGTTGCAATAACTCTAGAGAGGAACAGAACATGATACTCTTCAGATGAGAATTCAACGCAATTTTCTTCTGCCATGCAAAGAAACATTCCCCCCATATAGAAACACTGTTTACCAAAACCAATCTCTTTCCTATAGCCAGGGTTATTATTGTCTGAGTCCTGCTCCTGCCTCTGGCTCTGATGACCCAAACCTTTCATAATACAACAGAATACCATGTCCCAAACCAATCTATCAATCTCTCCCTTTGCTCCTGCATGCAAGCAAATAACCAGCTTTCTCATATTTCAGCTCTCTTCTTTTAAAAGGCATGAGAGTAAAGAGAGAACTTTATGCACTTTCATAAGTCATTTATTGCTGAAAACATCTACTTCTCTTATGTTACCCCCTTAACTTCCTTTTCTTCAATATCTAGATATTTCCAACAGAGAGGATGGTATTTATCAGGGGTGAAAATTGTCAATAAAAGGACAATGCAGTTGTATGACATATAAGTTCACCACCAGCCCATGTACATCTTCATGTATTCTTCTCTTAAAAGTTTATTCCAAGCACAAATGTAAGACTTCAGATAAATAACTGAGGTGGTGATATTAAAAGGCCTCTCCCTGCTTGACCATGACATATAAACTGAATACTGTAGTTTTCAGACAAGATTGAGCAGAGCCATGGGTATCCTGTAAAGTCAGCAAGGGGTAGCTAGAAAGAGAATATTTGGGGAAAATATAACAATCACTCCCCTGCCAACTGAAGTGAGTCTAGTTTTTCCTCTTTTTTACAGATTTCTGAATAAGACTACATTTGAAGAAATGGCCCTACTATAGCAAGAATAACAGTCATAGTTACAAAAAAGAAACAAACAAATATAAGGAAAACCCTTGAAATGAACTGATCACATAGATTAGTAAATCATGTATCATAAGTACTACAAGGACTGAAAGAGAGGCAAGAAAATTCTCTATCTTACAGATTTTGTTCTCAAGTTGTAGAAAGAGAGTGTTACATAAATATGCAAATTACTATACTATATGGTAGAGAAAAGATAGTATAATGGGTGATGCTAAGTAACATGCTAGAGTAAATTAAGATCAGCTAGGAGACATCTGGATGAGAGAACAAGGGAGTTTTTTGGAGTGACACCATTGTGATGGCATTATGATGAAATTTTTAAGGGTTGATGGGATATTGTTAGGCAAAAATGGGAAGACGGCATATGTGTCAATTCATTCAGAATCATTTTATAATATAAGAATCTCCTACATCCTGAGCAAAAAGGAACTGAAACATGAATACATATAGCCTCATAAGGTATCAGTAAACAATCAAGTTTGACCAAAGCACAAGAAATGTTCACTTTTTTCAACAGACATGTAATACCTCTCATGATTATGCTCTCATGACAAGCTATGCACATTACAGTAGGGTAATAATGGTGGAAACTCTTTCTTTAAGTATTGTTAGTGCATTGTGGAGGATCATTTATGCCAATTTGAAGAGTGCATACTTATTCTACAAGGCAAGAGGAAACCAGGACATTTTAGGACAAGAGAGAAATATGTCCAAAATTGGAAAATAGAAGATGAATCTGGTTTGGAGGGTTGTAGAAGAGAAGCAGTCCAGGAATAAGTTGGAATAATACTATGACACTCTGAAAGAAAATCAAAAAGAACTCTGCCTGTAGGAAAGAAGAAAGAAGCAAAGGATGTGAGAGATCGAGGAACAATAGAACTCTGCTATGTAGAGGGAATGAAGCAGATATGAGTCAAAGAGGCATCCAAGAACTCAAGACTAGGTGAGAAAATAAATGATGGTAAAGTCAGAGAGAGAGAGAGATGAGAAGATAAATTAAGACATTGACAAAATGCACTTGAACTTTATTTTCCTGTATTTTATCAACTTTCCACCAGAAATAATAAAAAATGTTGTTACTTTAGGAAATCACGGAGACGAGTACATTTATCCACTTTCTCTAAGAGTTTCTCATTTCTTTCTCCTAAATCCACCCCTGTTTACTATTCTGTTAATGTCTTCCTCTCAGCAGATGGTCAGTTAATCACTAATCCAACAAAGAATTAAAAGTGTTCTCTCCTAAGATAATATTCATATTGAAGGACTCTTGAAAGAAAAGCTTTTAATCCCTGAAAATAAAACTCTAATAGTGGAGTGATTGTTCTTCAGAAGCATCTTTCCCAAATGTCCTATAAGCATTCACATAGGACCCTGCTACTTAGAAATCTATGGCAATAATTATAACCTATTTGGATAGTAAAGATATAAAAGACAAATGAAGCAATGAAAGACACTTAAAAAGCAATGCATGTACAAGTGAAAAAGAAAACATGCTTTAAAAACAGACCCATGCCTGCATACCATATCAGCCTGACAGGAGCCAGGTGAGCCTAACAAGGAATGGCTTCTTCAGTGAAGGCTTTCTACGATTGGCACTGAGAAGTCTCACTCAACTCAACTGCTTAAACATGATTCTTTGATTTGAAGACTCAGAACCATTCATTCCACTTAATTGGGCCACAGCAAAAAGGAATATACTTATTGCATATTTGAAAGTTACCAAGAGAGTAGTAGGTCATAAAAGTTCTCATCCCAAGAAAAATGTAACTATGTATGGTAACAAATGTTAGCTAGACATATTGTGGTGATTATTTTAAATATATACAAATTGGAGTCATTATGCTGTATATCTGAAACTAACAATGTTATATATGAATTAGACATCAATAAATAACAAAAAAAATTTAAATAAATTTAAAAATTTTTTGAAGAAATAT